CCTAACATATGAACTATAGTCTAAACTCCTAGTATCCCCCTTAATATCCCCTATAAGAGTCCCCTATATAATCCCTTGTATAACCCCCTTTTAGGAGTTTAGACTATGGCTCATATATTTCAGGGGGCCTCCCGGGCCTCCCGAGTCCTTCCAGGAGCTTTTGATCATTACACCTTCACCCTTCTTACTGGCCCAAGTTGACAAAGTTGCTGTTAAGGAACTTAAACTAAGTTACCATAATGGGTATATTTAGCAAATAATAGGGTTTCCCCAATATAGTAACTTAGTTTAAGTTCCTTAACAGCAACCCAGCTTACTGGCCCAAGTTGAAGGCCCCTTTCTAGGGCCACACCCCTCAATGCCCCAGAACCCCAACCCTCCGAAGGCTCCACTGGAGTCGATGGAGTATCTTTTTCATCGCTTTCTTGGTATCAGAGTATCGGAGTTTGTGTACGCGGGCATTCCAAAATTGAGAACTTTTTGGGCGCTGGATGACCTCACGCAGTGTTGAGGCACCTAAACTTCGAGGCGCCAAGATTTACAGTTGCAGGACTTGCCCCTAAACCTACAGGCCCAGACCCACAAGCCCCACACAGCACGCAGTGCAGAGTCCGGGCCGTTTCAAAATACTCGAGGGGTAGCTAGGGAATCGTATAGGGTACGTGTAATAAGCACTACTAATCTAATGGTTCTCCCCACACGATCCATAGCTAACGTAGTTTCTACGCCTTTTAAGAGAATTTTGTCAAACAACTTCTTGAACGAAAATGAAACATGGTTGTAGAAAAGCGATCGCGGCAAGCCGTGCGCGAAAGTTATACGTGCGCGACACGCTCTCCACCCATTGGTTCTTGGACTTCACACACGATCCAGAGCTAACTTACTTTCTCCACGTTTTTCAGAGAATTTCGCCAAAACAACTTTTTGAACGAAACTCACATATTTGAAGCGCGGTCGCGGCACGCTGTACGTGAGAGCTAAGAAGCCTGCGCGACAGACCGTTAGAACTAAGGCAACTAAGGTGAGTACGGGGAGTTCAGACGGTAGCTGATGTTTCAGACCTCCTAAATTCCGGCCCTCAACCCTAAGAAAGTTGTGCATAGAGTCTAAATTCCTGCTATAGGGACTACGAAATGGACATGGGGACTTCGGACTGTATTTCAGGTTATAAGGTGCCCATTCCAGGGCTGATTTAGAGGTATCCACTAAACCCTAAACCCTAAACCCAAACCCTCAACCCTAAACCCCCTTAAACCCTTCCATTGGAGTTCCGTTGTTTAACGACTTGAGATAAGAGCAAGAACTTATAAAGGAGGGTCCCTGCCGGGTATTGCGTGTGAGGTAAACACCATTCGCCTGCGGGTGCACATTTACGTCTGCATTTTGACCCTGGCGCTTAAAGGTTATAAGTCCTCCCTGCCCCACTGTTTACCCTGCGCTCAGTTACATAGCCTGGATGGAGAGCGCGTGTGTCTAGTATATATAGAAGAATATAGATATAAATACGAATATATATATATATCTTATATATATAAATATATATCGGCAAGGAGTGTGATTGGGGAAATATTTTTTGGGGGGGGACTGCAAGGTTTAGAGCTTGCTAAAAGGGAGTTTGGCAAGCCCTAAGTAACCCTAAACCCATATTTCTTTCAATTTGTCATGGATTAGAGTTCTAAACCCCAAGCCCAGGGTTCAGCCGAGGTTGTGGGATGTGTTCTAGGGTTTAGGGTTTAGGGTTTAGGGTGTAGGGTTTAGGGTTTAGGGTTTATGGTTTAAGGTTTAGTAGGGTCTAGGGCTAAGGGTTTAGGATTTTGGGTTAAGAACGTTCAGGGACATAAAACTTTGTTTGGCACCCTGCGCCTCAGACTCGAGGAAATGCCTGCAGAGCATCAAAAAGCATCGCGCTACCACATACATGCCAACTCCAAGGAAACAAAGTAGGAAGGAGAATAGAAGTCTCTTGAGCGCTGTGTCATAAGCCTTCCGCAGCTTGTAGGAAAGCTGTAGTAGAACCAGCAGCAAGCTGGGTAGCACAACGAAGCAATCCCTGACGATAAACAACAGCGGGCTCATTGCGTAGCCAGAATGCCATCCGTACTCTCTTGCACGGCTGGCCATGATGTCAAGGTGTGCAAACATGATTGGGCTGGCGACCTGCGTCATGCGCCAGTAGGAGAAGGCATCTTGCATCAACTGCTGAACCAAAATCGCGCGGACCTTGCCACGCACATGGTTCTCGAAGCTTTCCAGCGACCCGAACCAAGCCATGATACAGCGACAAATGATCTGACGGTCGCAAGCAATCGGCTCACCGGTCTGCGATACATGGTTTATCTCACAGCATCCGCAAAGGGAGCGCTCAATCTTGAAGTTGAGGACTTGTTGATGGATCTCGTCAATGCTTCGGGAGTGTACCTACACCAAAAATGGACGAGTCTTCAAAATCTAACTAGACCAAACAAAAGTGAAAGACTTGCAAGAAATCGAACCGACAATGAACTACGAATCAGGTGCGACGCCCGCGAACGCAAGTACTATAAGGCTTGGAAAGCAAAGCGCTGCAAAGCGGATCAGGCCCCAAGGCACATATTCCTGGGTTGCTGTTAAAGCGCTTAAATTAAGCTACTCTATTGGGGAAACCCCATTCTTTACTATAAATATATATATATATATATTTCCATTATGGTAACTTAATTTAAGTTCCTTAACAGCAAACCAGATTCAGACAGAGAAGGCGTCAAAACGGTGATCAGCATAAGCAGGCTGAAGCCTCATTAAAGCGGTTTGAGGTTTAGGGTTTGGGTTTACAGATGTCCCTACACCCTAAAAACCCTAAATCTTGGTAGATGACCTGGGCTGCTGATGTAGGGGCCTGAAGGATTAGAACAGGGTTTCCCATGCAACCCGCGATAAGAACCGATAAACCAATCCTGGATTGTGCTTTCAAAAATTAAGGCTCTCAACAAGTACAAGGCTTTTTTAGGTCCCAACTGTAGTATGGCCCCTAATTCAAGTGCCCCAGTTGGTTTGGGGTTTCGGGTGTAGGTCAATAAAGGTTAGGGGTTTAGAGTTTAGGGCCGAGAACCAATGCCAAAAAAAAAACGGACAACGACCTAGAAACTGGCTCTACAGAAGTGGTTTATGGGGATTATGAAATGTAGAAGCCTCAACAATGACCAATATCATGTTGAGGTCTACAATGTTCAAGGTACTCTATATACCATATGTACACAAGGAATCTATGACCACAACATCCCGTACGACAGACAAACTTTGCATTCAATTAGACAGCCCAGAAACCGAAATGTGCCACCAGGGCAACCACGCCCACGGAAACTGGGTAAACCACCAGCTCTGTTTTGCGTGCTCTTTGGCTGTGCAGAAATGCGGCAAGCTCGAAAACACACCATAAGCGCAAAGTGAACGACTTATGGAAAAGTACCAACATGCGCTTGGATTGGTTTAGGAATGCACCCATGCTGACCAGTCCTTCAGCTTTGCGCAAGCTGTGTGTTTGGTCTATACAGGCAACATCCAGGAACACCAGCTTGCGGCGTGCCACAAGTAGAAGACCGGCATAATGGCCTAGGACACCAGCAGGAGTGCACCAGGCACTTAAGATAGGTTGCCCAGCGAAAGTCCTAAGGCCATGCACCTCTGGAAGAACTCTGGCAGTGTATAGGATGGCAGCTATGCAAGCGAAGAGCACACCCAGTAGGAATGCCGTCAATCCGTTGTTCAAGTACAGAACCTACGTGAGACAGCAACCCAAAAAGATGCCTCTTTGATGTCCTAAGGCCCTATCGCCCACAACCCATCAAAAAACTTAGGCTTCTGTAGACCCAAGATTAATGAACCCCCTCCTTTTACAGGGCCTTAATACTAGGATCCCTATCAAAATCCGTATTAAGGGGAGAGGTTCTATTAATCAGGGGTCTAGGCAGAACAAACAAACAAGTCCAAGGCTCAAAGTTTATAGTCCCCCTTTAGATAGAATATGGGGTATATGGGGATCTTATTACAATATGTCCAAAAACATATTCAATCTACTCAAGTGGGACTGTAGGCCCATAGCCTGAATCTTTAAGTTTTCTGGCGTCCCATGAGTATGCGCAGGCGGTTCGTAACCGGTTCAGCATACCCATGGTGACTACGCTTGGGATTGCCTTTTCAAACCTGTTCGTTCGCACGTGTCGCGTGTTACTCCAGACCACTCTTGAGTGCCTTTCGAGAATAGGCGTGGCGATCAAACACTTTTCACACATTGCTAAAGCAAGCAGCGCGCAGAAAACACCTGCTGTATTCATAGCTCAAGGCACCCAAACAGTGCGGCCGGATCGTCATGTTTTAGTTCATTTCGCTGCTAGCAACCATTGCACAGGGAAGCGTGCTTGCGCGCTAACTCAAGCTGCGTGCTCTCAGAACAGTACGCAGGAAGGATTCCGCTGGCAGCTGGCACAGAATTCAGGCGACGAGCTCGCACTTGGATTAGAACCTGCCGTGCACGCCCGCGCTCCGAACAGTGCGCGCCGACGACCAAGCATGGAGCACGAGCTCAGAACAGATGGCAGACACGATCTCGCGAACGCATCCTCACGTAACGCACATAAGCTCCAAACGGTGCATATCAAGCAATGCGCAAAGACCACATTTATGTGCTCAGCGAGCACGTGCTTGACACAGTGCGCAAATGTGCGCAAGCACGCCCACCCAAACAAATGTACATGCGGGCTGTGCGAGGAATATAGTGAGCGGGGAAGACGACAAGCATACTCCAAATCTATGCAACGGTGCCCCCACACTGCACGAGGAGAGCAGGTGTGTGTACTCTAAGCAGAAATGTACCGTGCAAGGATTAGTGCGCGGGGGGTAAGTATACTTACGTTCCAGCTCTATTCACGTGACTACAGCGCAAGAAGCACGCGCCGCACGTGCTTTGTGCTTGAATTAAACCAGCAATGCTTTGAACAGTGAGTAGCAAGTAGCGCGGAGCATGCACCACTGTAACCTAACTCAATGAAAGCACTCTGGCAAGAGCGTGCAAAAAGAGCTCCGCCTGTTTCCTGCACTACAAGGCCTGTTTCCTGAACTTGAAAGCGCTCCATAACACCTCCTTTAAACTCTAAAGCCCTGAGGTTTAGGGTTCAGGGTTTAGGGTTCCTATTCCCTGAATCCTAAATCTCAAAGCCTGGAACCCTACACATTTCCTGAACCCCACGACTCCCAAACTCTAAAGCGAAACGGTAGAGGCAAGGAGCGCATGCATATTTCATGTAAGGCGGCGTCTGCCAGCTGTGAGACCAAAACCTGGGACTTACCAAGACCCTACTAGCAGCCTTAATTTGGGACATCTGGTAGTTTCCCGAAATAAGATGATCCCAATATAGATCCCGAAATGCTATAATCAGGGTTATGAGGACCCCAAATAGGTATCCCTAAATTTGGGAAACCCCCTGTGTCCCCTAATAGTGTGTACTCAGGCCCTAATAATCGAAGGTAGGGGGAAAGTCTACTTAGAGATTAGGTTTCAGAGTTGAAGGTCAGGAAAGTTGAAATCCGTACTAGTCTTGGGATCTAACGTTTAAGGCTAGTCTCGAAGGCTTTTTGTCTAGGATTTAACCTTTAGGGTCGTTTTTGCCGTGTAGGAACTATGTAGCTTTAAGGGCAGAATGATGATCTCAAAGAACGACTTAGGTTAAACGCTGGAGCTTCAATAGGGTACTTCTAACTACTAAACTCCTATGTTGGGGTGTCTGTGACCAGTATCTCGAGGCTCACTGGCACAAGTGCGGCATACTTCGAGTCGATCAGAAATAAAGCAACCCTACTTATAGCCCCACTCGAAAACCTGCAAATTTGGTCTGTAAGAGACCCACCCCAATGCCGTGTGCACCCGACAACACAATGCAGCACGGGGGAACTTCAAGGTCCATTGAACTTCGTTACTAGTTCAATCGGTGTGAAATCCTAGCCGTAGCTCTACCTCAAGCTGCCAGTGTACATGTGTGCAGAAGTATGTGCACTTCTGCCTGTGTGCCACTGCTACGATGGACCTACCCATTTCGAGGCTGCTATTTGTATCTGCCAAAGGAAGACCTTGGCAAGACGATGTAAGTGTTTGACAACTTTATTAGTGTGTTCAATTATCCAACATGATCACAGGGCAATCCAAGCCGCCAAACCCTAAATCCTGAGCCCTAAACCCTAAGCCCGAAACTCTATATAACCCATTACAGTAGTTTCCATGTTGTTTTCCATTAACCCCATATAACACCAATACAAACCCAATATTATCCCAATGGTCGCGAGAGCGTAAAGCAGTGAAACAAAGGCATGGAGGGACATGTCAAAAGTGATGACGCTACTGTACATGTATGCGTGTCTGTCTATTCAAAAATGCACTTTCAGTTAAAGCACTATAGGTGGGACTATAGTCTCAATTTCTTCCAGCAATTGCTAGGTGCAAGCCATCTTCTTAGTGACTCAAAGAGCCGACTGCAATCAAGCCCCTGAACCGCATACCCAAAACTGAAACCATAACAAAAACTGAAAGGCCTAAATCGTAAACAATCTTCCACTTTCAAGCTTGATGCCCTCAAGCAACCTCCTGTCCTGCGCAGTCAACCTAAGAAGCATAAACAAGTAGTATTCTTCTGTATTGTGATCCTCCTTACTGCTATTATCAGTATTGTTCCCATTATTACCTGCCATATTTCTATCATCCTCCCCTAAACCCTGAACCCAGAAGAATTCAACCTGAGACCCCTGAACAACCGCCCAGAAACTCATCCAGCTTAGAAGTGACCTGAGCCTGGCTGTAGTGATGACCTATGTCTCCTGACACATACACATATGAGGTTATATAGGGATTATATGAGGGTGATATAGGAGGCTATATATGGATTATATAGGGGGTAATATAAGGATAGTATAGGTGTTTATGTAGGGATTGTATAGGGCAGGTGGCCGTACGGCTCAGGTTTCTTTATGGGATCCTGGAGAATGTCGTTATTGTTGTTATTTCGATTATCAAGGCTGTAGTAATCATTGTTACTGTCGTTTTCAACACTGTTACTCATCATATTTGGCAATATTTGGGGTCTATGACTCTTTGCGGTGTACAACACAGCCTGGGGCCCTAAAATCATGCAAATTTACGCTCCCGCGGGGTCTATGTAGGCATATAGTACATACTCAGGGCCCAATCTAGTGTTTTTTTGGTGGTTGAACCTAGTAAGATTATATTCCTTATATAAAATACTATACCCAGGCGGAATATATAATCTGACTCTATACTGGGTACCATAGTATTATTATTCACGGACGTCAGTCGGTCATGAGAATCTGGCGTTGAGCACTTTGGCTCCTCAAATATAGTATCCCCAAATAAAATACTACTCACTTTATGGCCCTGCATGGACACTTTAGGTCTTGTCACCTCGAAGCCAGTTTGCTCGCAGAATGCCCAAGGCCCGATGGACAGGTATTCCCCGAATGATATCAGGCCTCGTGGCCTTAGAATTGTTTAGGATCTAGGGCTTAAGGTTAGGGTTTAGGGCTTCGGGTTTAGGGCTTAGGGCTTAGGGCTTAGGGCTTCGGGTTCAGGGCTAAGGATTAGGGTTTAAGATCTCAAGGTCCAAAATGGACAAGGATCACATACAAGTGTACTTATGCATATATCCCTGGGGGCGTCTATAAACGATACCCACATGAGCTATAGTCTAAACTCCTTAAAAGGGGGTCATATAGGGGATTATATATGGAGACTACTATAGGGCGTAGTAAGGGGGATACTAAGTGGCAAAGAGTGTGGACTATACCTCTATGGGGCCCTAAAGTTTCTGGATAGTACCTAGCTGGAGCCTTAGGGTGTGGTGTCGTGTAGTTGAACCCTAAACCCTAATCACTACACCCTAATCCCTAAACTCTAATCCCTAAACCCTAAACTCCCCAAACCCTAATCCCTAAATCCCGAACCCTAATCCCTAGACCCTAATTCTAAACCCCAATGCGTAAACCCTAAACCCTAAAACCCTAATCCCTAGTAAAACCCTAAACCCTAAGCCTACCTCAATCCGACCTCTGCTTTGGATTTGTGCGGGTCCCCAGACTTGAGGGTTTCCTAAAATTAGGGGTGCAGGTACCGTTTTGGGGGTGCCCAAGGATTATAGTATATTGGGGTCTATATTGAAGTTCCCTTATTTTGGGAGACTATCACTTCTGGATTTTCGGCGCCAAAGAGGTGATGTGTTTGTCGAAAGACGTAAGGTAACACCTCCTGGCGTGATGCTGGAGACTTGATGTTGAAGATGAAGCATCGAAATCAACAATGAAATCAAACAAAAAGAAGGAGGCCCTGGGGAGACGCCAAGAACATGTTCAACAACGTTTCGTTGATAAGGCAAGCTCTCTCTTGCTCTCTCGCTCTCTCTCCGTCTCCTCCCTCCACAATCCAAGGACTAATTTGCAGTGGCGAGTCGCTTTCATGGCAACCAATCTCTCAACGTAGAAGTCCGAAAGCCTGCTGAAGTCATCTTCTTCGGCGCCCACTTGCGGCAACTCCTCCATGGCTGAGGTTTGAGTGTCGAATTGAAAAGCTTTAGGGACTGCTAGCTCTTGCAAGTACCCAACAAGGAAGTACGCTGCTGAAGTGCAACAATGCGCAACTCCCTAAATCGCCGAAAGCCTACTGTGCTGAATGTTTCAAGCAGCTTGGGGCGGACACACAAACACATGACATGCAACGTTCGC